ATGTCATGTATTTTATTTTCAAATATTTCAATGTTTTTTAGAAATGCAAAACATTGTGTTGTAAATACCTTAAATATTCCCTGTAGATTGCATATCCCTAAAGATTCGAGTTGTTAAGGACTATGGGCTAAACAACGTCCCTATATACAATACGGCAATACTGCAAAACTTTTGTCACCATCAACAATCACCAACAACAATCTCAATCTTAGTATAGTATGGTGGTCCCTTTCTGTAGATGTCCCCTCGCCCCCCTCCCCCCTTCCCCCTCCCACTGACAAATTCGCATGGTAAAACTATCTTCATTCAGTAAAAAATGAAATTTTTCACTCCATTTTGCTGTCGCTATTGCACTCATATATAAACATTCATTATTAATTTTGTATAAATACTGTATATTGCAAAATACAACTATAAGATTCCAAATGTGAACGCCTGCGTTTCCCTGGTTCCGAGGTTTTACACGCATCGGTTATTTCTGCAAGAGATAATTAGTTTCATTTTGTTGATTTGCTGGAAAAATTCAGGAATACCAAGAATACGCGAATCAATAGCGAGTTATAACAGACATCTGTCGAATGGGTGTGCTTCGAGATGAAATAAGCGACACAAATTTATCAATTAACAAGTCAATTGAAGTTACCGATTGGTAAGTAATCAAGTAAGTTGTATGATTTAATGTCAAATTTCATGCCATGCACCGCTCCTACATGTTAGCTCATCTCTAATAATAATAATAAAAGCATTTATTTTAACATGATAATTTTACAGCATAGCAGATGTGGTCGTGTACAAATATTAAATATTATTATTATTATTTATTATTATTATGTATCTCTGTTAAATATTAAACTACTACACATACAGTATGTCGTTTATTAAACTTATTAACCTGCCACGCAATATTGACAATATTGAATGTTGCGTTTGTGCATCATTTTAAGCTGGACCGGAATGGGAATTAGAAACCTTTGATTCGGCAATCGTATGCGTGAATATACGAAATCTATATTGGCTTGTGACAGATGCAACGAAAACAGAAGTTGATCTTATGGAATATATCAATTTGCAAGTATACAAGACAGCTGCGGATCGAGAGAGATGCACTACACTTGAAAAATAAGCAAACTGACTTTAACGTTTTGCTTATATTTTTCAGGCAGTTGTACCACTCTCAATCCGCAGCGGTCTTGTTATCGTCGCTCACTATACATTGGTACGACCGACTGTTCGAGATTTGCTATAATAGAGTGTCACGCCTTAGTTTACTTAGTTGAAGCCTCGTTTTATGGACTGAAATGATTTAGATTGTATTAAGGAATGAATGCCGTATTAATCCCAGATATGACTATAGAAATTGTGAAAGAGATTATCAACATATTTACAGTATCTATATGACATGCATATTTGAAATATTTTAATGAATATACTGTAACGTGGGATCAAAATATATAATATGTCCAATTTACAATGCAAAGTCAGGTTTGCAACACATGAATTTGCGACATAGTTGCCAACATCACAAGTTTAGAACTTACAGTTTTGCTATTGGCTATTGTACATGGTACATCAAATATTTCAAAGACAGATTTCTTCAGACATTTAATATTTAATAAAGACGTCTCTCGATGCACGTTTTGCATATTTGTTAGGAAACCGCCTGCTGATCCATTGTAGTGAAGATACAAGTTTTACAAATTGAAATGTCTGCATATTTTTGTGAAAAAGAAACTTACTCCCAGGGACGCCGGAAGCAACATGAAGTGGCATGGGCTGCCATATAATTGAAATACTTTCGTTAAAATTTTGCTGTAAGGATATCTTGTAGCCGATATATAGTTAGACAAATTTCGGCATTGATTGGAACAGTTTTATTCGTTGCATGACGCTAAAGAGTAAAGACTAAAATGTATTGTTGTTAAACAACATGACATGTGTTGAAGATTATCACAAACTGACACAAACACAGTTTCTACTCCGGTCCCCTCTCGGAAGTCCGTGTTGACGAAAACGTCGTTTGCTTAATTAAGCACCGTAATTATTTAGGAAGGCTTTCTTTTTCACTTTTTTCATAAAGGTGGAAACCATGGTATTGTTTCTGAGAGGAATTTTAAATCAAGTACTAGGTATCACTCTGTCAGCATTTTAAATATTATAAAAAGCGTTTATATACTATAAACAACGGGTTTTTAGCGCTCATACTATGAGATCAGTAAGAGGTCCGTCCTGCAGGTTACTGCATGACCACCCAAGAACCGATCAAAATGCTACATTTTGCAGATGGATCGCTTTGCCATATAATAAAACAGTTATTAGATGAGGTTTTGTGATATCCGAAATTATCAAGGTCGAAGTATACCTGTTGTTAGTCAATATGATTATGCTTTATGAGCTGGGAACAAATTGTAGTGCAACTGTAACGGGGGTGCATATCAAAGTATTCAACTGTTCAATCAATATTTGAGTTTGCAAAACTTGCTCAAATTTCCCCTCGGTTTACTCGCTTTAATATAATTTTGCTTGACAACAGTAGGCACAACATGCTAGTACTATTGTAGCTACAGTATAAGTGAAACACAAATGATGATTGATCACTTAATTTAATCAATACTTTGATAATTATGCATATTTTTATTATTCCAGTCTCCGCTACACGTAAAGCCAGTTTTCCACAAAAGGCGGAATTTTGCAATGAACGGAATTTTGCGGGCTGAGCGTAATTTTTCTTTGTCTTGTGATTCCTCGGGTGGAACTAATTAGAAAAGACAAGAAAAATTCCGCCCTGCGCGCAAAATTACGCCTATAGTGAAAATCCAGCTTAATAGTTGAACTGCGATTTCTTCACTGCCCACAACGCGTCATTTTGATGCGCAGTGAAAATTTCGAATTAGTTTATTCAACACCGCGGAAAAACGTCCGCGCATGCGTCAACCTTACTGAAATTTTCCTTGCAAACGTGGTGTCAAGTATCCCTAAAATACTTAAGTGAAATATGTGAAAATACTTAAGAAATAGAAAACGTGTCACGTGCGTTTATGGTGTGACAATGCACGCGGGGAATGTTAGGAGAACACAGAGAAGCGTGTAAAACACGAGGTGTAGCCGAGTGTTTTACACGCTTCTCGAGTGTTCTCCCAACATTCCCCGAGTGCATTATCACACCGTAAACGCACGAGACGAGTTTTTCTATTTCTTTTATAATATAAGTAGAAGATATTACATGGTACACAATTTTACTCAAAAAATCAACTTTGAAATTCTCCTAACATGTACTCGGTGACGTCACGCGCATGCTTTTGCGAGCGAAGGAGAAATAACAATACAAAATTTTGAGAAAGTTTTGATGCTAAAGTTGCGGAGAAACCGTTTAAAATGCTGGGAGTGGGAGCCCCCAGTGATACACAGATTGATTTGCTAATGTTTTTAAGCATTTGGGCTGCCGGATTTGCCATGAAGGACGTTAGGCCAAGTAAAAACTATATATGTTTCTCGTCCCCGCCCGCTTCCTTTTTCTTGGCCGCTTGCTTATTTTTTTTTTGCTGGTTTTCCTCTACAAATTTCGCTTCATGTTTAGTGAACTTTCTTTTTGATAACTTGAAGCTAACTTGAAGTATTAATCTGGAACTACTGCGGGCTCATTCAAAATCCTATCCGCTGACCAAATTCAACGCTGTTCAAATTTAATACGTTACGAGACATTAAAAAAGTTATGTATAAACAGTGATTAAACACTGCAAATATAAAGCTTTTTGACTTGCAATCATTTGCTGTAAGTTAATGTAGTTTGCTGTATTTAATACAGTAATACTTTTATATGTACTTTTATAGTACATACAAAGACGAGTCTGACTCATAGGCTGACTTTGAACATCAAGATGGCTAGTTGACGGCTGCTCACCACTCACAGAAGTATGAGGACGGTTTCCACTATTATCTCTATTCCTTTTGGAGTCTTCGGAGATAATTTCCTCCAATATTTTGCGTATTTCAGATCTTCTATTCATGGCATGGATTAAAAATGAAAATTTATACAATCGCGCGCGAAGGAAAAATAGCACAAACAGCCAATAACCATTTCCTGAGTCAAATTTCAACGTCAGCCGATACTAGTCAGACTCGTGTATGTTATAAAAGTATTACTGTAATATAGCAAACTACATAATGATTCCAAGTCAAAAAGCTTACTGCAAGTGTTTAATCACTGTTTATACATATAAGTATCTACTTTATTTACAAATGAAAAGTATAATTAAAATACTTCTATAAAACCGAAAAAGAAACCGACCTGCAACATGTCGCTTTATAAATATTTAGTCGCAAGGTGTTGGCTGTTTAGTTATAAAGATGGCAAATCTACGGGAATGTATTAAACTGCCAGTGGTGGATGTTATTTTTTTGGCGGTATACCGCTGGTCAAAAGCTATTGAATATTTTTTGAGGATTGTTTTATTGAATATATTTTCGGCCGCATTGAATATTTTACGGTGTAATTTACTCAATATTTCAAATGTTGTATTGAATGTTTAATGTCGGTTATTGAATGTTTTTGCGAAGATATCTACCTCCTCCGCAGGCCTTTCAAAAAAATAAAATTGGTGGGAAACGAACGGAAAGGCCTGCGGACTAATTTTCCAAAATGGCGGGAGCCACAAACCAAATTACATTTAATATATCATTTTACCAAAACAATATTATTATTAAAGTCTTTAACTATTTCTGATATAGACCGCTTTTCGTATCCGCAATATACATAAAAACAGTGAACACTGAACAAATAAGCATATACAGTCGAACCTCTATTAAGCGGCCTTCCATTAAGCGGCCACCCTCTATTAAACGGCCACATATCGAAGTCCCGAAATTTTTGAAATACAAATACTATAAACTATCACTCTATTAAACGGCCACCTCTATTAAGCGGCCGCGGCCACCCAAAGAGCTGTCTCAAATGATGTTTTATGTCAATTTTTACCTCTATTAAGCGGCCCCTGCAGGATTTACTTGGCACAACACCTTATCAAGAGAGCCGAAAATAAAAGTCGAGCTAATTTGCTTTATTTGTAAAATAAGGCTTAAAAATTATGTTTTAACACATGCCACTTTACACCTCAAAAGCTTTACACCTCAAAAGCATTGACTACGCCCAGGGTCTATTATTTGCGTACCTCTATTTAGCGGCCACCTCTATTAAGCGGCCACAAAGCAGATCCCCGAGGGTGGCCGCTTAATAGAGGTTCGACTGTATAATGATTTATAAAGAGAAGCAGATAAATATCAGTTTATAATTTGCATATTACAAACACGCAGCGCTTTTATGTAACACGTCGTATGTAAGTCATGCGGCCGTTTATCCACGAAATTTATTCCATTTACATTTGTCTTTTATACTATTGAAATGCGCGTGTATATTGTCAAAACATCCCATTTGGCCAAATGATAGATTGACAACGTCTATTATCACTGTCGCTTGTGCTTGTAAAACCCTCCATTATTTGAATCTCCTCGTCGCTTTTATCAGCCATAACTGCCAAGATGTATTTAGAAAATACTCGCAAAACGGGATTGCTAAAGATTGGCAGACGATGTGCCATATTTTTGAAGAAATTTGATCCAACCGAGTAATCGACACTATAAGCCAAGTAATCGACATGTTATTCAGCAGGCCTTACAGCTACGCAAACCTTCGTCTCAAATTTCAAATTTAAACCTGCGAATGGGCATACTCGCTGTATGGCCTGCGGAGGAGGTAGCTAAGATATTGAATATTTCGGTAATTATTACACTGGCCGCAGCCAGTGTCATAATTAGGCTCAGATTCCAGCCGTTGTGTTCTCGCCACTCGCCCAAAATTTGGGAGGCATAAATTTGTATTAATAATGCATAAATTTAACACAAAGATAATAAATTAAATATGGCTAAAGCGCATTGCTGAAACGTTCGAAGACGGCGTTGTGCACTTAAAAAGATCTGGTCAACGATATTTATACGTGAACTACACATTTAAAACAATTAATAGCCTACTAGGTCGTTTCTTCAGTGACACATCCGTGAATGAATTAAAAATAAATTATGCCAGCCTTACTTCACCCGATGAAATGGCTGAAGCATTTCACACATACTTTTCTATTGTTGGTTCTACTTTGGCAAACTTCATGGCAAATTCCAGTGTTTCTTTTGGACAAATTGTAAAACCTACTCAATCTAAAATGTTACGTTTTAAGTTGGTGCCATGATACAGCGAAGTATTCAACCTTTTAAACAGCCTGTCTAGTTCTAAGGCAACAGGCCTTGATAAAATGTCAGGGAAGATATTGAAAGCTGGAGCCTGTACTATTGCCAGTCACTTATTTATATTTTCAATCATGCGCTTATCTCTAGCCACTTTCCATCTGAATGGAAAGTGCATGGCAAGGCTGTTGCCCCTTTTCTAAAAGGGGCCCACGAAATATAATAAAAAAGGGAATCAATATTAAAGATACACTGAAATTATATGCTGTCTTGTTTAATTGTTTTATGGCGCGAAGGCCGTCGGGTTTTAAAGCAATTATAAAATCAATATTTAAAACAAACTTACCTTCGTTAACGTCGGCTCCCTTCTTTTAGCCGATTCTTTCGCCCTTTCTTTCTGAGAAAGCTTTTGAAATTTACAGAATCTTGCAAAAATGAAATATATTTGCATGAAATTTAACAATCATGATATCAAGAAATGTTTGCTAACGCTATTTCGCTGTCGTCATGTAGTCGTTATATAATGCAAACTTTAAATTGGACCAATCAGTGTCCGCTATTCATGACAGTCCGCCATATTTTTGAAATCAGTGAGGATGACCACCCACCGAAACATCGTTGGTGAGCCGCGCCCGCGATCATTGATGAACTTTATACTTCGCTAATGCTTTCGTTCCCCCGGGTGTAAATAGCCGGGGGGATTAGTACCCTTGCACGGAGCTACGCGCCGTCGACTGGGGGACAAATGTACAAAGTTCTAATCTCAATCGTTCGCTACTCTTTTTCGTACGGAAAAGAAATATAACAGAACATGATCTTAGGGGCTCCTCTACTTCACTACAACTACCTTTGCCAAACACCGAAAACCTTAAGAAAAGCTTCTGTTATGAAGGAGTTAAACTGCGGAACCCATTACCTGCAGATATGCGTGATTCTGATACATTATCAACATTCATAAATGCAATTGACGCTTATAATTTCTGAATAATATAATCTTATTAATTTTGTACATAATTGTTTTGTAGTTATTTGTAGTTTAGTGTGTATACTATTTTGTTATATAATATCATTTAATCCACACGCCCCTCGTGGAAATCAGCATATAGTTGACGGGACCAGCGTGTGATCTTTTAAATACAGTTTTACCTATCGGTATTCGACAAATTTTCAAGAAATGTTCACACGCCTGCCGGTTTAAAACGATGATTTTTAATTTAAATTCTGTTTCTTTTTAGATTTTAAATGCTAGAAAACTTTTTATTAATGTTTAAACTACCTATCTAGTATATTTTTTTGTTTGTTCACTTACCTTAAATAAATTTAAAATAGCTATATTTTTGTTTCCAATTTGGCATTTAAATTCCTCGGCATCTTTTCTGGTACACGCGCATGTGCAGACGTTTTTCCGCGGTGCTGGCTTATTCAGTCTTGCTGCCAAAAGAGTTCGGCAAGTGGGATACATAAAAAAAATATGTTTCGGTGTATTGAAATCCGGTTAACAAGCATTTAGAGTAAATAAAGTTTAAAAACGGAGTTTTCAATTGTAAGATATCGCCTACACTGACATTCCTGGCAAAGAAATCCGAATACAACGCCGCTGAAGATATAAACAGTTTTAACTTTTAAGTGCAGTTCTCAATTTGTTTTGTTTAATTAATCTAGAATGTCAATCTTCGCACAAATGTTCTGCATTCAAATATATGCATAGGTTAAAACTTGGATTTTATCGTTTCTCATCATTTGTAGGCTACCTTCGTATATGAAAGGATTATATACGTGCTTTATGTCCTCACCATGTCAATTTAGATGGTGCTTTTTATATATGCTTATATCTCAGTTCGAATTAAACAAAAACAATTACAGGATTTCAACTACTAGTACATGCATTCTATTTTCTTGGCATGTACGCGCAACTAATTACATACAAGACTCGCATATATAGATCGCTCGTCCCAAGCGGCAAAGCGACCGTTAATCGTATTGGTAAACGGCCCGAAGCATTTTGTTGTTGCAATAATAATCCCTATCAGATTAGAACAAGCTAAAAGCTTTACAAGTTATATATACTGGTTTTTGCATCTGATATATTTATATATCCGAACTAGCAAACGAATTGACTCGATTTGTCCTGAAAGTTACCGCCGAAAGGGCAATTATGCATGAGCAACATCAAGTTGATTTTCCACGGTGTTTGAATGCCAATGTTTTTATGCCAACGATCATAAATTACACAATTTTCCTTCTCACAAGCTTGAAAGTTCGTGTGAAGAATAATAAAGTTTAGCTGATGTAACTCTGAGTGTATTATTTATACGCCATTCCCGCGGGTTAATTAATTAACAACTTTTCCAATTCGTTTTATAGAATTCTATACCTGAATGACTACATTCATTCACTGACGTATGTACACATGTGAAATACGTTTAGCGGTTAATTTTCCCGAATAAATTAGTAGTAATGGATTACAAATCGAAAGAGTTTCAAAGAAATAGAATATCTCATAAGAAGAGGTTCATAAACGTGCTTCAAGAACTGCTTCAAACTTCAAAAAAGAACGTGCATGAAACCATCAACGTCAAACATGAATACATAGAGTTCTTACAGCATACTGACTTCCGAAGAGATTTAAAAAAATGTTATCCTGATTTGGTTGCATCCATCGGTCACAAATATGGCCAGATCGACCTCAAAGGTCCAGCTTCTCAAGTAGTGGACGCGACTGTCATAATAAAAGAGCAACTACACAGAATTTGTGAGAAACAGTTAACGTTATCTCAGTCAACCTTAATTTGGAATATTGTTGCAAAGAATCAGTGGAATGAGTACTTCACGAGACAACTTGGTAAAGAAAATATAAAAGCTAAAGTAAGTCGTACTCTAGATACAAATACTGTAGCTATGATAGACATGCATGACATATAGCTAGAAATCCAATGGACCTATATATCTATATAAGCAAACCTTTCTCTCCAGAACGGGTGTTTCAGACACCATTTTTAATAAACATAAAGTATTTCTAATTCTGCACATACTCAATTTTTTCGCTACGACTAGAAAAAGAACAAAAATTTTATTGAATAAATGTTCGCCTGCATGTGACGGTCTTCGTCGACTGCATGCTTTCGATTTTCTTACAGCCCATGAAGGGGACCCAGGCCCCCCCCCCCAATAATTTTGAAAAACGGTAAAAATCTTGTACCAAATAACACAAATCACACTCATATAACGTAATTGTCATATTAAATAATAATATTTGACAAAACTTAAGCTAAAAATGTTAGCAATACACCAAATAATATAATGTTTCTGTACTGTACATGTCACAACATACGCATTTTATACATTCTTTTTGACGGATACACAGGGGTCAACTTTTATATATATATATATATATATATATATATATATATATATATATATATATATATATATATATATATATATATATATATATATATATATATATATA